CCAGCTACGTGTACCTAGGTCGGGAAATCAATATGATGAACGATCTAGCTCCAGAGCTGAGCAGGAGGAAACGAGCGGCTTGGGGAGCGTTCAAGAACATCGAGGGAGTAGTGAAGAAGACGAAGAACATCCGGCTCCGTGCCCACCTCTTCGATTCCGCTGTCCTTCCTGCCCTAACCTACGCCTCAGAGACTTGGACTCTGCGCAGGCAGGACGAGCATGCGGTCAGCGTTATCCAACGCGCTGTCGAGAGGACGATGCTAGGAGTAACCCTATACACGCAAGTGCAGAGGGGAATCCGGAGTGCCGAACTACGCCAACGATCGAAGATCAGGGACGCTGCCGTTTTCGCCAAGGAATCGAAGATAAGGTGGGCCGGACACGTCATGCGATTTTGCGATGACCGTTGGACCAGAGCGGTTACCGACTGGATCCCTCGGGACGTCAAACGAACACCTGGACGACCGCCGGCCCGATGGTCAGACTTCTTCACGAAAGCTCTGAACGAAAGGAATGAAGGACATCGTGTCCCTCGAGCGAGGAGGGTCCACTGGACAACTCTTGCACGCGACAGGGACGAATGGAGACGTTGCTGGCGCCCGCTCGAGCAAATCGAAGATCAGTGGGACGACAGGTGACAGGTGATCTCCAATTTCGGAACATGAAATGTTTCGATTACAGAATGGGTTCTCGTGAACGGACCGCGGATTCGTCCTCGCGAACTTTTTCGACGAGCTGTTACGTTGCAGAACAATACGGAACTCTACGAGCAATATCTTGGAGATACGCGCGATGTATCCTGGTTTTCTTCCTCGTGTTGGGCGCTGAAAATGCTGGCAAGCGCAGAATCAAACGAGGCATCAAGGTTAAAATTTGAGATAGCCACCTCTCCCTCCCAAAAACGAGTGCCATGAACATTTTTGGTCTTTGTAAGAGACCTGTGAAGAAATATGATCACTTGTGCAACGCAAGCGTTGTCTTCTAAGCAGCTTATCTCTTGAGGAACACGTTGAAAATTGAACGCACTTTCGAAAGCTGAGCCTTTCAAAGTAGACGACTGTTCAATCTGAAAGAAGCACGTGGGAGTTTTTTTGAAGAGTGTCCGTGTTGCACCACTTTTTTCTTGAAATATCAAAAATATCTTTTCGAGTATTAAGCGACGAAAATTCCCGGTGAGCGCTAGTTTTCCAATGTCATAACTCTCTTCAGGTGCATTAAATCAGAAAATATGACACAGCGTGCAGAACAGAAGTTAGCTCTAATCAAAGTATATCAAAAAGTATTGGTAATCTCAGAATTGAAGGAACGATCACGCCTAAAAGATCCACTCCACTTCTATAAAAGGTGCGACTGAAACATAGATATCCTAGTCATTTACTTCGCCGCACTGATGATAGATGAAGTCTACGCGTGACAGAGTGGCTTCCAAGAAAAACGAGACCCCTAAGAGTACCGCCAACTCGATGTGCTGACTCGTTTCGAAATTTTTTTTACAGAACGCCTACACTGGATGCATTTGCCAAAAATCGGGCTATGTGGAAGAGCTGTGGTTCTCATTGGAAGACCGCCAGTTCAAGGACTATCAAGTAAAGTATCAAAGTATTCTAATCTCGGTTTTGTTAACCAATTTGACCCTACTTCCCAGTCATCAGCAACAGAACTACTGTTGAGAAGGAAATGTTGGACGACCGTGTTCATGTACAGGGTGGCTACAGAGTATGGTCCGTATTTATTCTCATGTAAAAAATAAATACGGCGCAGTTCATCATGAAATTTTGCTATATGGTAAGATCCAGGCTCAGGAGGGTACTGTTCGAAATAGTAGCCTTTGTCCAGAATACAAGCTTCCAATCTCTTGGTGAGGGCCTCCATATAGGGAAGTTAGTTGGCCACATGTTTCTGTTCCGGAATTCAGGAAAATGACATTGGCAGAAGGAAAACGTAGATTTTGACCCATGTGCTGGCGCCCAGTTGTTGCAAAAAAAAATTTCGCCCTTCAAAGTGTTTATGGGAACACGGCATCAGTGTCTCCCTCAAAATAACATTCTGGTAGGTTTCCGAGTCGATTGTGATGTTTTTATCAAAAACGATAGGTGCCTTGCCTTCTGATGGTATCCCGCCCCAAACCATCACCGACTTCGGAAACACGCTCCTGGTTTTTACCCGTCGTTTTCTGGAGTTTTCTCTGACGGACTAAGCAGTTGCCGCTGGTTTCGGCTGTTGTGCGCGACCTCAACCGTGAAGATTTTCTCGTCAGTCCGGACGATGTCTGAAAGGCGGCCGCACGAACTGCTGGAGAGGGGGTAACCCCCAGGAGGCCCGTCGCGCGGCAAGAAGGCAAAGTCAGCGGACGAGTCGCGCGCGTACTAGGGATTTCGCGTCAAGTTAAATAGAGTGTCCCATTGCACGTCCTACATCGCACACCACGCGCTGCAACTCGTCCGCCGACTCTGCCTTCTTGCCGCGCGACGGGCCTCCTGGGGGTACCCCTGGCAGAGGCTTCTTACATTTCTTGAGTGTATCCTTCTTAGCGGCATCACTGAGCACCTGTCCTCGAAAGAAGCAGTAACTGTGCAAATCCAGTTCAAATCTTACGAGGTTTTGAGCACTTCTCGATATGCTAATCTTCTCGAAGCGATTTTGTTCATACTAACTTCACCGTTGTGGGAGATTCCTTTTTTCGTACTAGCAGTCGTGATAAATCGGCGTTAGCGCATGACTGACATGCTCTGTCCAGAACATATATCACACTTGAAACAGTGATTTGCAGGTTAGCAACGTGTAAATTAGCGGACCATACCTTATAGCTACCCTGTAGATGTGATTTAACTCTACTGTATTATACATAACCCTTCCTCAACAGTGGCTTCCTGTTCTGTGCTCGTATAAAAATGTGGAGACTTCAAGAAATCTAGTAATGCCTTCAGTCACAAGCGGAGCCTGTGTCTTGTGTGTCTTGCTTATCATCCAACAGTGAGTATGCTATCTACTGTTTTTTCCTTAGTACTCAACTACACTGATGTCAGCCACGTTTTGCTCACATGTAGACACCCTTCGTGAGCACTGCGAGCCAGCTCCTGTTTAGGTCGGAGAGATTCCTAGATCATCGGGCTATGTTGTGTTGCGGCTCTTCAGTTGGTTATTTTTAGGTTGCTGGTGTTTAATAGATTTAATACAACTCGAAAGCTTTTTCATGCGCTCCACTAACTAAAGAAAAACATGGAAATCACTAAAGTGAACCACTGAAACTGTGCCTTACCTCGTTCTGCGATCGAATAGAAAAATATCATACATAAACCCCTGTGCATTCAAATTATGCACCAGATTGTTACTTCTGCACCTCTGAGCATTAATAGCTAACCATGAAAACAAAGCAGCGCTCGAAATCACGCAAAAAAGTAGATTCATTTCGGTATCAGGAGGACGCCGAGAGTCATTCCTTCAAGTCTATTTATTCTGTACGTTTCCTTCTCATGGCAGTACATAGTGAATTGAGCGGGCTAGCGAGCAGTGTTGTCTGTTTGCACTAAAAATGAAACGCCTCTCAATATTGTGCTGTCCCGGAGCCTCATCACCTAAATATTGTATAACACAGAGAGGCACCAAAATTTTATTTCAAAAGAATTCCAAAAGTTCACAAAATTCAAAAATTCCAAAAACTCAAAAGTTCCAAAAAGCAAAAAGTTTGAAAAAGAATTCCTTTGAAATCTTCCGCGATATTTCGGTGTATAACACCTTCTTCAGGCCTGAAATACATTGATTATAGTTGGTATAATAATTTGGTGGTTTCCTAACCCATATTGATACCCACATGTGTTTGCCACAGCCAAGGATAAAGCTGCCCTTACGGGAGCCGCGCCGTTGGAGTGAAAGAAATGACTTACCGCTCACCCCTTGCTTAAATAGTAGCGGACGTACTGTGACGGTCATTGCATGTGATATGAAAAATTACGTGACATTGGTTACGTAGTTAATACAATAGTTATAGAATGTCCCGCACTACCTTCCAGCAATCCCGATCACAGCTTTCATTTTTTGTGCCAACGCTTCAGAGAGTGGAAGACTGTTCGGCCGCTGCCGAAGGTCGCTCGGGGTTGGTTGGCAGGGTGCGGGGGACGCATTGAATTCTTAAAATAGGTGTCAGTAGGTTCTGTGTTATCATAACGTGTCCTCCATAAACACTGGTTCTGTGCTGACGACAGAACTTCCCACTGCTTTCTTTTTCGAGGTAGCTTATGACATGCACCGCTACATGACTCCTTATCTTGTCATTCAAAAGGAGACTTTTTTGTTCAACATAGTCGACGACTGGCTAGTGTAGCATTGAACAGACCCGACCCCGTCTTAACTACCTGAAGCTCTTTTTAGGGTTTTTCTTTTATTAAGGAAAACCCTTCGAATCAATTCTCTTCAAATCTTTCTTTTATGAAAGCAGAGAAGATTTGGAATTGAAGTAAAACCGAATGTTATTTCGCTGGAGCATGCCATGAGCTTAATGTTGTACTACTAATGCACAAACATTCGAAATCCTAAAGATTTATTCTGCTTCAATGAAAAAGCGACAAGTGATCAAACAAAGAACAAGTACGGCGCTTTAGGATCGCGTGGCAATTCACACAGTAGACCTCCACATCTTGAATTCCTTCATTTTGCACACATCCTTCACTTTAGCCCCGCTCGCACAGCCCGTTTTGTCCCCCTTCTGATACAAATCTGTCTTTTTAGGAGCTCTGAAAAATAATAATACAAACGATTGGCGGCACTCCTTTGTGCATGTAGTTTGTTTACTTTTTGTTGTAGACACATGCAAACACAGCCTCGCCCACACCACCAAAACTATCACCGCACTGCTCATAATTGCAGCCTAATTCGTAGATTTCATGATGAGCCATCTGGAATTAATCGATATCGTGTCAATCCAGAATGAGGAAATGTCCAGGAATGTGGGTAACGTACATTGGCAAAGGTGTGTAAACGGTCGGACTCGTAGCGCGTATCTTTCATGAAGTAATACTGGGCTGGCAAGGTCCACCGATACATCGCATCATGAATGACAGCATTTTTACCTTCTTTGGAAATGTACTCTCCATCGTTGGTACTGAAATGGACTAGAACATTTGAGCGATCTATGCAATTGTGACAACACGACTGTTCTGCTTACTAGTGAACATTTGCCCATTATCCAGCGACTCGCTCACGGAATGAGAACAGTTTTTGGTCAACTTCAGCGCTTTTTCTTCGAGGGCACAGCTCCATCTCTGAAGCAATCTGGAGGCATAGAAAAAAGGGAGTTTCCATTATAAATATATTGGCTTTGATTATGGTGTCAAGCCACCTTTGCCACTATGATCTGTTGGATGACAGATCGATATCTAGTTGACGCTCTAGATTTCAAAACTCTAAAACTTGGAAGTGTATTATGGGAAAGATTTGTGAACTTCCTTTTAAGTTGAGTGAAAAACCGTTCGAAAGCGCGAATCTTTTTCTATAAGAAACCGTTCAACTGGGTACGTTTATTTGGAATGCTGGACCTCTGGAGGCGATGAACTGAGGGAAGGTCGTTTTAGCATCATGTTGGTTTTTGATGTATTTCTCTTCAAGGAAGCTATCGAGATCGTCAGAAGTTTGACAGTAGATAGTTCAAGGGTCTACTAAGTAAGATGTTCGCAGAACCACTCTGAAGTTCAGCTGGTACAACTTGTGAAGGGTTGGCCGTGCGATGTGCGTTCAAGACACCTTTCAGGGATGTGTGTGTTCCTTTATAATGAGGAATGCTGGACCCATGTCCTAGAGTTTTTGATGATTTTTGATTAATATAAAGATTGATTCTCCACTGTAACAGTTCCATCTGATACTGAAGAACATGGCCAGCCGCTGACCCCATGAAAGCTGCCACAACCCTCCTCCAGCACAGTTTAAATTCTGCAAAGTTTGTAGAGCTTCATCGCCGTCGATCTATTCAGCAAACCTTCGTAGAACTATAGAGAAGAATCTGCTCTTTATTGTACGTCGCAAATCTGTAGAGAAACGAGTCGCTTTTATCACATAAAACAAGCGACAATTTGATGGACGACCCTTCAAATTGGTGATTTGTCGCGGCACGCCCCTATCAAATTTTTTGGACTTTCCAGCTACTTCCGTATAGCTTGGCTGTACAAACCATATACGCCCAGGTTGGGCAGAACCTCCTCTATGGTCTTACGCACGAGTGCTTCAATCAGAACTTTTGGCTAATCGGAGACACCGTCCGATATCCGACCACTACTCTCATCATATTCAAGGCTCTCGCCTTCGTTACAATAAATTTTTTAACTACTGCTTCTGAGCACATTTATTGCAAATCTAGGCCCAAAGCATCGTTAATATCTTGAACTGTTCCCGCCACTTTCAGGTCTATTTAAAGCTAGAAAAAGAAAGTCATGCCAACTTGCTCATCGAGTATACCGCATTCAAAGCTTTGAAAAAGCTATAAGAAAATTTTTAGGACAAAGTTGAGCTAAGCATTGGATAGAGCTGGAAAAGCTCTTCAAAATGATATCAACATCAATTGCAGCTTTCCTAGATTTCAAGGGAAATAAAGCATCCAAAAGTGGAGTGTCAGAAAACGACAGAACTTTCTGAAACACCTAATACTTAAAACTTTCATGCGCATGCCATGGTTGAACATAACTTATACTAGGCCTTTAAAAAATTAATTGTTCTCCAACACCGACCTCCAATATGTATCTCGGCTTCAACAAAACATTTCTATGGCAAAATGCTGCTATCTCTGAGCTTCGCTTAATTTTATGTTGAAGATCGGATGTTCTAGAAGCTCTTGCAATAATTCAATTGATCAACTATCCACATTCAAAGAAACAATGCAGTAATATATACCAGAAATAAGGCAGAATGGAGGGACCGAACAGGGTTGGGTGGGGGTAAGCGGCGGGACTAGTCAGCGCTTTTCTGTGCTCATCCGAAGCCGAATCTTCAATGGTCTTGCTTCTTACCATTCCTCAAAAGTGAGCATACTTACAAAGAACACCTGTGGTATAGAAAAAAGCCTCGTCATAAATGAAATCTATATGAAGGAAAACGTCGTACGGAATCTTATAGGACGAAAGAGAAGGAAGGGATCCAGCCGTGAATGTGGAAGTTAAAAGCATTCTGAAAAGCAATGACTACGTTAAAGGGAATCTCAAAACATGGCTCCCGCACAGATCGCCGGACGGAGTAAATCTAATAGTGTCAACGACAAGATTGCTCAAGTAAACCGCGTGGTGGAAAACTTCCAACTTCCGGTTTGACTGTCTTTCGTTTAAATCTTATCCAATGCAACAGTTCCACATGCTGAGCTAGGCCAGCCGCTGACCTGGTGGGAGTTACCATAACCTCTCTTCGTGCGATTTCGCCTTCGAACCTTGATCGTAATCGATCCTTTCAGTAGATCTTTCATGCTGTGCCAAAGATTAGCTCGACACTATGTCTTACTACAATAGAAAGGCGAGTCTTCATTACGGAAAACAAGCTAGAAATTGGAGAATGACAATCAGATTGGTTATTTATCGCCCTTATCAAAATTTTTGAACATTCCACTTACTTCCGTCTGACGGGAACCAGAAACTAAGTGCGTCCAGTTAGAGAGAAACGTTCTCAGTAGTACTGGGCGCTCATGTCTTTGGGGGGGGGGGAACATCCCAGTGAGTAAGCCAGTTACTGTGCTTGGAAACTGTGCCTTAGACAGGGAAAGGAATTCTGTGGGAAGATGCAAGCAATATGTGTGCTCCCTGGCGTTTCTCCCGTCTCCTGGGCTTTTAGCTATTCCCAGTGTCACCTGACATCGGCCTTATTGTCGATGTCCCCCCCCCCAAGGACATGAGCGCCTAGTACTGCATGCAAGTGGCTCAGTCACAACTTTCGGGTAACCTTCCAATGTAGCACCCAATATCCTACCACGACGCTCATTATCTTCATTGCTCTCGCTCTCCTCACAAGAAGGTTTTGAGCAAATGCTTTAGAACCTGTATATTACGAACCTGAGCCAAGCTTTAAAAGTTTTTGACAAATGTCCTAGAATAGAGATACGAGATAGAGCAAGGGAGGATCTTCGTAGTGGTATTTGTAACCGTGGCAGCTTGCTTGGAGTTGAAATAAAATGAAGAGAAACGATGCTAAGTGACAGAAGTGGAATCGCTAGATACTAGTAGTATAACATTCACCCTTGCCGCTCCTAATCTGGCTGCCCCATTTCATTCCGAGAGTGTAGCTAGTGAGTGAGGCCCTCTCACGTAGTCCTCACCCTCATCTCATCACATTTGCAGCATTAGGTTAGGCTCTTTGAATCAAACGCCCTCAATCAAATTTTCTTCAAGTCAGCCAGCCAGTAGTTGAAGCGTTCTTGTTTTTCAACGTATCGTGATCACTTCATCTAGATCCATTATTTATGTACGATTGGTATGTAGCTATAGATCTGAGGAAGGGCTCGAGGCCTAAAACTTCGTCACATAAACAAATTTTCAAGATTTTAACATCATTACCAAAGGAGGAACGTATAAAATGAAGCATCCAAAAGTAAAGTGGCAAAAAGAGAGAATTATTTTTAAAAAACCCAATAACCATAACAAAAGCGCATGCACAAAGCATATGTAGTTGTTATGTGCAGAATTTTCGAATTGCCCTGTATCAGCTCAGCTTCTACGGCATCGCTTTTTTGTTCATTTTCAGTCACTGCTTACGAGCGCAAAAAAACAAGACGCTCAAAAAATCAAAAAAAGATGGCTTTTTGCATTCACCGAGTTCTTGTAGAAGCTTGAGTTATTCAAATCCCATTGCATGCACCTGCTGACACTGCTTTCGACCTTTCAAAAAGTAGTGTGCTGATCTTAATCATACAATAACCACGCAGCCAGTCAAAAATCCGTGCCAAGAAATGCCAGTAAAGTACAACGCCGAAAAGATCGCAAACGAACATGAATGGCTGCTTCTAAATGTTGACATGCACGGAAAGATGCAAAAGGGGAAAAATGGCACGGATTCTCATTGTTTGGAGGTGTTGGCCACGTTTTGCAGAAATTTGCATTGAAATTTTAGAGCTTTTTATCTTCCCACCACAAAGCGTCTTCTAATTTCAAAAGTTCAGATCGATGCAGCAGTGGGGCTGGCACGTGCCCTTGAAGAGCTAAAGAATCATCAAACAAAAACTGCTAGAAATAATAAATTTCAAACTCAAATCTGATGTTCTTGACAGCATCGACTCGCATATTTATATGGGGTTCAGTGCTCACTGTTGAAAAGTGTTGTCTGGTACTCTAACACTGGCAATAACACTGCGAGGAATAAGCTATATGTGTAGTAGCCTTAAACGGTTGGCTCGAAGTTGGAAGTGGTGCAACGGGTTAGAGTGGGGGTTATGATTTGACCTTTAGGCATTTGAGCATGTTGTTGCATCAGCGCTTTTCCTTCCCTGACTGGTTCGGTATCAACCACAGGGATAACCCTTCTATAGGACTACAAACAGTTTATATGGCGTCGACAACACCACCCACCTAGATGCTTTCATTTTCTATTATGACCACGCAAAGTCTTTTTTATAGCATTCAGGGAGTAGCCAATAATCTTTAGACTAACCATTTTGTACAGACTTTTCGCAGGTGGAAGGTCTTTGCCTTCATAGCCAGGTGATGTTCCTTGAACAAGTGCATAGCGGAGTCCGTTGTGAAAATGCAAGACTTTTGTACGAACGTCATCGTCCATAAAGCTACCATGATTTTGGCAGTACTCTGTAACACAGAAAGAAAGTCGCTGCCATGACTGTAGACAGGGGTATGTCACCTTGAAAGCTTGTTCCCAATTTACTCTATGGAGGTTAGCTAAAGAGG